TAAAGTCTGAAGAAGTGGAAATTGTGGGAGTTAGGTAGTCAATCCTGAATAGCGGAGCGGTGGACCCTAAAAAATAGCGGGATGACGGGATAATCGCTATTTTAATATTAATTTATATATTAAATAATTAATAATATGTATATAAAAATATGCTGAATTAAATTTAATCACAAATTAAAAATAAAAACTGCTGAATTAAATTTAATCACAAATTAAAAATAAAAATATGCTGAATTAAATTTAATCACAAATTAAAAATAAAAACTGCTGAATTATAAAATAGAAAATGAGAAGACAAACAAAGAAGAGAGACGAGGACGATGGAACTGGAGGAGCAGCGTCGGTCGGAACTGGAGGAGCGTCTGACAGAGACGCCTGAAGAAGACGACTGGTGCGTTGACGGTCGTCCCCGAGAGAGAAAGAAACGAGTCCGAGAGAGAGAGAGGAGAGGGAGTGCGAGAGGTTCAGAAACCAACAACAATGGTTCCGCGAGAGGAAGAGGAAGAATTAGGGCAAGAAAAACCCAACAGAAATGACGGACTTACCCTTAATGAAGGGTCTGTCCAAGACGCGGTGCGATTCCGCAGTTTTGGGACGCTCCGTTCCGCGACCGACGCGGCCGCTCCAGCCGCGACAGAAATCCGAGACGTGACAACATCTCCATTGCGGCGTCGGGCAGCTCCGCTCCAGAGCGCCGCAATAGCGGCCGCTCCGACCGCGATTGACAACTTCAAAGTCAATTGTAGGTCGATTTGAACTAACAGAATCAGTGAATTCTACCACTAGAATAAATCTTTGAATTAGTGTTATCCATTCTGCTGAAAGAAGTTTCTGTATACGGGCATGCCCCACTCAGCACTTAAAAACACCAGATTACAATAACTTCGGAACAATGACAGGCAAGGGGATCACTGGTTAAAAACTGAGTAGATGCATATGTTACCAATCAGGAAAATAAATCATTTTTCTTTACTTCATTTATTCCAAATTAGACCTAGGTGATACCTTTCCGATCCCTTTTTGATGCATTTGTCACCAATCAGGAATTTTTTTTTTTTTCCTTTACCTCATTCCAAATGAGACCTAGGGTGATCCCTTTCTGATGCTTTGACCCCATCCCCCTGGACCTCAATTGTGTCTCAGCTCAAGACAACTCAAAGGTTTCATAGTTTGTTGTTAGGTTAACCAGGTTGTCTCTTAGCCAAAGTTAAAGATTAATATCTCAAAATATTGAGATCCATTAACTTTTTCTAACAAATGTTTTTCCATGTATATGAACCAGATATTAAACTCCTAATCTAATGCTTATATTAATTGCCTTATTCCCAATTTTTTGTGTGGCTTTAACTTCTAAATTACATTATTCTTCAATGTTTTCATTAAATTGGAGAGACATGCTTTTATCGCTGAGCTCTGCAGTGGTTGCGTCTAATACTATGGTAATTATTGAAGGTGCAAGAGCCAGATATTGATAAATCAGTTCGAAAGCGACGAAAAAGGCGGGAACGGGTTCTAGAATCCAAGGAAACATCAAAACTACAGGTAATGATAGTTTTTTTTTAATAAAAGAGCTATATCTCCGATTTCCTTTTTCTTAGCTGACCACTTATGAATTTATTCAATGAGCAGAAAATTATTTCCAGAACGAAGCAGCTTCTTCTATTTGTCTTTATTTTGGTCACACTTCTTGCTGCTACATATTATGGGTACAAGGGACTATTATGGCTCTCTGATTGGATGAATGAAGTTGATGAACGGAGACAGAGATATTCTCGAATCAAATGATATTTATCAGCTTGATTACTTTGTTTTTCTCCCCTAAATGAGGATATACATAGTTTGTTAAATTCAATGTTTTGAATGGTTCCATATATTCTTTTTCCGTAGACAAGTATAGCATCGGTTAATGGACGTTTTAGACATGCTGAGAGTTTCCCAAAGTTGAAATTTAGGAAATTATGGTCGAATATACTTTTGGCAGTTTTTCTTGTCTGGATAATATGGGTTTAAAATTGCACAGAATTGTCAAAATCTTTGTAGTTATGCTTTGTGTAACAGTTGACCCTTGTTACTCTCACATTCCTTTTATTTTCACACCAGTTTCTCTCTCTCTCTCTCTGTGTCACAGACACACATATATGAGAAGTACTAACAACACAGTCACTCTTATTAATTATAATGTCATAAATCAATGTACTCCAGCATGATTATGCAGTATAATGGGTAAAACAGTTTTTAAGCAAGTTTTACGTGTCTTGGATGTTAAAAGATTGCGGCCCAGTGTACGAAGCTTCCATCATTTTAGGATTGGTAACCCTATTTAGGATTTGAACCTCGTGTATGAAGATTCACCTAAATTCTTTAAATAATTGTTTTGAAAATCAAATAAAATTTTACCTTTCCCCTGATGCTTTGTCACATACCGAGTCCACGCTGGCAGAAATTATTTATTATGATAATTTCTTTTAAATAATTTATTTTTTGTAATTTTTATTTATATAGACCTAAAAGCCGAAAGAATCAGAAGTGGACATGTCTACGTGTTCATGGGGACCATGGCTAGACTTAGAATGGCTCTAATTCTCAAATGAGACAGCAAGTTCGGAACTGCACAGATTTTTCAATGGTTTCACGTTATAGACGCTTCCTAGTCTGAATGAGATCAGTAAGTGGAATTTTGTGAAAGTTCATTCTCCTTCGACTCTGTATTTTTACAGAACAGTCAACAATGCTATAAGAGCTTGCTATCATGTTTAAACTAAAACACATAACGAGCTTATATATTTCTCTCTATTACACATGCACACAGCCAGAGACACACAAGGAAGAAAGAGAGGGTTACTTTGGGTGATAGGGAGGGAGTGGAAAGTGGAAAGGGTGGAACAATGATTGGCAAAAATTTATAACTTAATTACAGCATAATAATACAACTATGCAGCTTAATAATTAAGAACTCCTTCATACACAGCACGCAATCAGGGAATAACACGTACATTTACAAAACCGCGTCACTTGGAGAAAATAGAGCAAAAGCAGCTACTAGGTAGGTGCTTTAAGAGTGACAAGCGTTTTCCGCGTATTCAACCAAACTTCTTCTTCACTCTGTACTCTTCCTCACATTCTAGTCTGAATGGGACCAAATAATTGGAAGTTAATTTGTCAAAGTATCCATCTGATCTCCTCCCACTCTATGTATATCCACATATATTTTTACATAATTAGCAAGCAAAAATGCTATAATAATTTTATTTTATTTATAAACAAAGAAGATTTAGTTACTATAGAAAATGAACATTTGCAGGGATGCTAAGCCCACGAAGCAGGGTCAAATGCTATCATGACTATTATCACAAATAGCGAAAGCCCTCTCCAAATTGACTACAATTTCAGCCATGGTTGGTCTTTCTCCTTGCGCACTCACACAGCGGATTGCGGTATGGATCACTAATTTCACTGCCTCTGCTTCATTTACATCTGGACTTCCAACTCTTGGATCCAAAATTTTCACAAATTCTCCACTCAAAATAGCAGGCAATGCAAAGTCCACCACATTTAATAAAGAGGTGCTTCCTTCTTCTCCATGCTTGAAGATAGGTCTCTTGCCCGTTAAAAGTTCCAACAGTACAACTCCAAGGCCATGCACATCAGTCTTTGCTGTCAACTCATTTAGACCATAGTACTCAGGAATCAGGATCAATGTGTCCAACGGTTCCTAATGCCTTCATTAATCGGTAATTATAGTCAGGTTCTGGACTCATCAAAGACAATCCAAAGCCACATAATCTTGCGCTTGCCCTCCAAGTAGCATCAAGAAAAATGTTGGAAGACTTGATATCTCTATGAACAATAGATGGAACTGCATATCTATGAAGATGTTGGATTCCTCGGGAAGCGTCTAAAGCAACTTTGATCCTCATTTTCCATGAATTCAACACATTGCTACGCTTGTCATGCAGACGATCGTACAAAGTCCCATTCTCCAAGTACTCATACACCAAGAGCCTCTCGTCTTTCTCTTGACAGAATCCAACTACTTCAACCAAGTGCTTATGGTGCAAACGGGAGAAGAAGGCCAATTCAGACATAAATGAACTCGTTCCCTTTGACCACATCTCACACCTTTTGATTGCCACCTCACTGCCATCAAAGAGTTTGCCTCTGTACATAACACCAAAGCTTCCGGCACCAATCTTGCTCTCAAGTGAGAAACCGTTGGTGGCTGCTACAAGCTCAGCAAGGGTAAATATTTGAAAACCTTCACCAATAATATTGCCTACTAATGAAGCAAAACTACAGAGAGGAGGAGATGTTCCCAAATCTGAGGCAGTCCTACTTCTTATAGCTGTGTCCACTACTGAAGCAAAACTGTGAACAGGGGATGTTCCCCAATTGGAGGGACTGGGAGTCCTACTCCATATTGCACTGTCTACTTTCCAAGCAAAACTATGGACAGGGGATGATCCCAAATTTGATGGGCTCCTACTCCATATGGCACTGTCTACTGCCCAAGTAAAACCTATTGCATCATTTGTGGTATCGTTCATGTCAATGCTCATAATTTCAGTATCCATTTGCCAAGTGAAACTATGTATGTGTTTATTGATTTGTATGCTGGAGAGCTACAACTTACTTTGGGTACATATATATGCAGAGACCCCAAGTAGTTGAGAAGGTGCAAGGCAAGGCAACAGAAGTTTCACCACGTCGTAGGAAGGAACTAAAATGGAAAGAAATAGGTAAAAGTGAAATAGAAAGAAAAATAAAAATAGTTACAATGGTCGTGGGAGTGTCATTATTACGCAATACAATCCTTGTCCTTGCCGTGTAATCAAGAAGCATTAATCAATCCGCTGCGCCGCTTAATTTGATGTTTCTCGCTCTTAAAATATAACTATATCGATGTAATAAAAGAAGAAATAAAAGTTTATAAAAGATATATATAATTTATTATTCAAAAATAAACTCTATTATTTAATTGATTGAATTTCAATGTGCTCTAATTTAAAGGAATTCAAATCGTTCATAAATAATATTAAAAGTTAATCACTTTAGTTACTAAGTTTCCACGGACAAAAAGAAGATTGACAGCAGTATGCTTATCCACAAATACACACGCATAACCTGTCATGCCATGTGTAAAAATATATATTACGTAAACCAAAATATACTCTAGAACAGCTATTCTTACTGGAAATGGAACATCAAATACCGTTATAGTTGCTTTCTTTTTATTTTTTTTACAAACGTGGCAATAAATTTGGAACCTAAAACCTTATTCTTATTACTCAAAATCTCCGTTACTGGGCCAACTTCAGTAGTTCCTTCTTCACTGCTGTTAATGCGATTGATATCATTCGGGTCATTATCACTATCACAATCAGTTATAGTCAAAGCCCTCTCCAAATTGAGCACGACGTGGGCCATTGTCGGTCTCTGTTGGGCTTCCAAACTGACACAATGGATAGCAGTGTAGGCCACTATCTCCACTGCCAATGCTTCATTCACATTGGGCAGTCTAACCCTTGGATCCAAAATGTTCACCAAATCTTGAGCCAAAATAGCGGGCACTGCAACCTCCACCAGACTTAATAATGAGATGTCTCCATCTTTCCCCGACTTGAATATAGCTCTCTTTCCTGTTAAAAGTTCAAGCAGTACAACTCCAAGCCCATACACATCACTCTTTGGTGTCAACACATTTGGATCATGATACTCAGGATCGATGTATCCAACGCTTCTTGCTGCTGCTGCCTCCATTGGTCGGTAATCACAGGCAGATTCTGGACACCAGAAGGACAATTCAAAATCAGATACTCTTGCCGTCCAAGTGGCATCAAGAAGAATGTTGGCAGACTTTATACGTCCATGAATAATAGATGGAACTACATGGTTATTATGAAGATATTCTATTCCCCGGGAAGCATCTAAAGCAATTTTGATCCTCTTTTTCCACGAATTCAACACGCTGCTATACTTGCGATGCAAATGATAATACAAGGACCTGTTCTTCATGTACTCATAAACCAAGATCAGCCTCTCATAATCCCCTTCACAGAACCCAACTAGCCCAACCAAGTGCTTGTGGTGCAGACGGGACAAGAAGGCCAATTCAGACTTAAATGGACCCTTTATGTTTGACCGGGCATTACCCCTCTTGACTGCAACCTCACGACCATCAACAAGTTTTGCTCTGTACACAACACCAAAGCTTCCAGCGTCACTAATCTTCTTGTTACGTGAGAAATTGTTGGTGGCTGCTTGAATCTCAGGCAGGGTGAATAATCGTGGAGCAGCATTGTCTACTGCGGAAGCAAAAGTATGGAGAGGGGATGCTCCCCAATTTGAAATTGATATTGATGGAGTCCTACTCCTTATGGCACTGTCCACTAACGAAGAAAAAGTATGGAGAGGTGATGCTCCCAAAATTGAAGCAGTCTCACTCCTTATGGCACTGTCCACTCTCCAACTATAACTTAATATTGCATCTACTCTCATGTCAATGCTACCATCCATTTGATTTTCCATGTATGGATATGTATGTGCTTTGGAAAAAGTGTTGAACCCAAATATATAGAGAGACCAAGGGAGAGGGAGGGACCAACGCGTATTAGTCAAGTGAACGAAGGTTCCGAGTATTTCACATTATCATGTTACGCGCATTGGTGTGGAAACTCTTTATCTTTTTTATAAGATGAACCACCATCTAGATGGTGCACCAGAATCTTATACAGTCAATTATAAATGATGAATATTGTTTTTAACTGACTAGTTAAAATTATCTTCTATAGCAACTCCTTATCGCATGGTCCACTTCCAAAGTAAAACTTGTTTCAACTGTCATATCGATCATGTATGTGTCAATGCTCCCCATTTCACTATCCGTTGTGTCAAGTGAAAGTATGTATGGATTTGAATGTGCATTGGCGGAGGCGTGGAGTGCTATTGCTCTCGTTTTGGATACGCATATATGCAAACAGAAACACGGGCCAACGCGTATTACTATAGTTGAGAAGTTGCCAGACAAGGCAAGAAAAGGTACACTTACGCTCTGTCTTCTATAAAGAAAAAAGAAATCAAAGGGGAAGAAAAATAAATAAAAAGTGGAAATAAGTGTTCAAGTGGACAGACAAAATATGTATAAAAAAAATGAGTGAAAATAAAAATTATTTAGTAAAAAATAAAAACAGTAGAAGTTATTTTTTTAATAGATAATTTTGTTTAAAAATAATAACTAACAATCTAATAAAAAAATAATAACTAAAAATTATTATAATATTAAATCTTATATATTAAACACCACTTGCGAAAGAG